CCTCTTGTTGCCTTGTCCCCTAAGCTCAGGCATCAGAGGCTTGAGTCTTTCAACTGTATGTGAGGGGTCCCCTTTTAAGGTCCCATACTAAGGGACCAGGCAACGACGCTAAGAACAAAGGGATTCTGTGGCGTTCCTTTCGATTTCTCATGGCACGACGTTCACAGTTGTCTCCCATTTGCCTCCCTTTGTGAAGTGAGCAGACCCCAAGTCTGCAAACCCAAAACCCTTCTGGAGTGAGTTTAGGGTTTAGGGTTTTTGTTTTAGGGTTTAGGGTTTAGGGTTTAGGGTTTAGGGTTTAGGGTTTAGGGTTTAGGGTTCAGCCCTTAGCCACTGCAAGCCCCTAAACTCTAAGCCCCCCCCCCCCCCCCCCCCCCCAAGCCCTTGAACCCCGAAGGCCTCTGAGCGCAAACAAGCAACCTAGGAATCCTTCTTGCGCTCCAGAATCCCAGGAGAGTGGAGTTTAGGGTCTAGGGTTCAGGGTTTAGGGTTTAGGGTTTAGGGTTTGGGATTTAAGGTTTAGGGTGTAGGGTTTAGGGTGCCCAGCCAAGGTGTGAACAAGCTCGTCCTGCCGCTGCCCTTGCAGTTGTCTGGGCTCATTTCAGGGAGGTTTTCGGCCCATCTACTCCCACATATAGCCCTAAGACAGGGCTCTGTGCCCCTAAACCCTAAACCCTAAACCCTAAACCCTAAACCCCATAAAATCTGTTATAGAAGACTTGCACAGGCTAGCCGCACCCGGGAGCTCACTTCCTGGAGTTGTCCTTAAAGGGTTTAGGCTTGGGGTTTAGGGTTTAGGGTTTAGGGTTTAGGGTTTAGGGTTTAGGGTTTAGGGCTCGATGGGCTCCGTGACCTCCTAGTTTGGGGGTTTGGGGTGGTGGGGGGGGTTGTGGGGGGTTTGTGGGGGGGGTGCGGGGGTGTGTGGGGTGTGGGGCGGTGGGGGCGGGGGGGGGGTGTGTGGGGGGGGGGGGGGGGGGTGTGTGGGGGGCATGGTTTCCTGACACCCGATAGAGGGTTTAGGACTAAATGTCTGCGAAGCTCCCCCCAAACCCTGAGCTCAATGTGTGCAGTTTATGGCAGTTTACTCTAAGGTTTATGGTACTTATTAACCAATTATAACTGTACTGGCAACCCACTTACAAACCCCTTAAGTGCCCAGGGCACTTAATGTGGTGACAAGTACAGTTATATGTACAGTGACAATCGGTTAGAAAGTACGATGAACCTCCAAGTAAGTGTGGTTTAGGGTTTAAACGAAAAGGGTTTAGGGTTTAGGTTTTAGGTTTAGGGTTTAGGGTTTAGGGGTACCCTTTACCCTTTGTTGTTGGTTCAAGGTTCCGTGGTAAAAGTAACCAGCCAAAACAACGGTGCCCTTATTCCAAGATGGTTACTGGGCCATTACTGGGCTGCCAAGTTTCTAAGGGTAGTTATTTGGGCCCTTAATATGGCCCATACCAAGGGACCATGTGACTACCCTAAGAGTATGGCTGCAGAGGCTGAAGGAGGGAGGGGTGAATCGGATCAACAGCTTATCCGAAGCTCCTACATTCACCCTCAACACGTTTGACGGTGTCACCATGAGACCTCAACCCCAATCCCCTATGCTGAACTCGAAAGCAAGGATAGTCTACACCTCGCGCAAGGGCCAAAAACCCCAAAACCCCAGCCCTGAACCCTGAACCCTATAGACCGCAAACCCTTAAACCGTGCAGCCCTGAAGCCTATACTCCCCTGCGGGTTTAGGGTTTAGGGTTTAGGGTTTGGGGTTTTGGGGTTTGGGGTTTAGGGTAAGGGGAATCCACGTGTCGCAGGCTTCCAGGAGATAGATAGCCCAGGTTAGGAGGTCTGGGGGTGTACGGTGTGGAGTTCAGAGTTGGAGGGCTTTAAGGTTGAAGAGGTTTAGGCTTCAACGGGGTTTACGGTTTAAGGGGTTTAGGGTTCAGGGTTTAGGATTTAGGGTTTAGGGTTTAGGGTTTAGGGTGTTTGGGCTTCGGGGGGGGGGGGGGGGGGTGAACTCCCAGGGGTCGGAATAATTACTAATGGCATTCCCTGATGGTCCCTTTATCAGTATACTATAACCACCCCCCAAAACCCTGTTCTGATTAGTAAGCCCTCTATCTTACACAGATTTCCATAGCACCTTCAGATGCACAGGGGATGATCGTTCTGACGACTTTTTAAGATTAAGCCCCAAAGCCTTGTCGAAACCCTCAAAACCATGTCATAAAAACGTGCTACAGCCCAAACAGCCCCTAATCCCTAAACCCCAAACCCTAAACCCTCAACCCTAAGCCCTAAGCCTTAAACCCAAACCCTAAGCCCTAAGCCCTAAACCCTAGACCCTAATTAGACCCTAAACCCAAACAAGGTACTTCTACCGGTCCAAGTCGCAGCTCTTGGAAAAGCTCTTATGTGCTCTCGTGGATGAATCGTCCGGGTCTCGGCATTGGTTTAGGGTTTAGGGTTTAGGGTTTAGGGCTTAGGGCTTAGGGTTTAGGGTTTAGGGTTTAGGGTTTAGGGTTTAGGGTTTACGGCTTCTCATAGCTCACGGCGTGACCCACCCATGAAGTTGTCATCACTGTACTGTGGAACTGGAGCCCGCACGTAACCACCCAGAGTCAAAACCCTTTCGTGGTTTAGACTTGTCTACCCCCATTCCCACCCTAAACCCTAAACCCTAAACCCTAAACCCTAAACCCTACACCCTAAACCCTACACCCTACACCCTAAACCCCAAACCCCAAACCCTAAACCCTAAACCCTAAACCCTAAACCCAACCACTCTTTCAAAGGGGGCTTCCTCGAAAAACCGGGGGCTTCCTCGAAAAAACGCCGGCACTCCATGAGATGCCTGCGGGTGGAGCACTGCAGGGATCCTCGACGCCAGAAAGTTGGCCACAAAAATGCAAACCCTAAACCCTAAACCCTAGACCCTAAACCCTAACCCTAAACCCTAACCCTAAACCCTAAGCCAGTCTTACAGGCACGGCCGAGCGCATCTACTGGGCCGATCAATGTGCTACGATCGGTGCGATTGGGCGACCGCACCCCTGGCCGGGCGATTTTCGACCTTAGGGTTTAGGGTTTAGGGTTTAGGGTTTAGGGTTTAGGGTTTAGGGTTTAGGGTTTAGGGCTTAGGGTTCGCGATCTTGGTGGGGCCCACACTTGGGTGGGGACTTCACAGAATTGGACGACGCAACCTGTACATGACCGACAGGGAGGCCCCCCACCCTGCCTAACCCTACACCCAAACCCTGAACATGTGACCCGCAGTCCCTAAACGCCCAGAACCTGGTAGTCCGAATTGGGCTGGTCTTGAGGGTTTAGGGTTTAGCGGTTCCAGCGTCGAACCCTAAATCGCAAGCCCCATATATAATCCCCAAACCAGCAAAACCCTGACCTAAACTTACCCTGAACAGCACCCGAAAACCCCTGAACCCCTGCCAACCTCCATCTTCGTGTCTCCAAGTTAGGGTTTAGAGATGTATATAGAGGGTTTCGGGTTGAGGGATACAGGATCTTGGGATTCAGGCATGTAGGGTAAGGGACTCAGAGATTTAGAGATGTAGGCCGCCGGCAACAATAAGGGTTCCCCCCTGATGCCCTCCCATAGAGCTGAATCAGCCGTAAGAGTGACTGAAAAGGCATATTTGAGGTTCGGAACCCTCATATCTAGCGACGGAGGCATCCTCCCATCCATTTTCCTAAACGCAAAACCTAAACCCCTAAACCCCAAAGCCCCTAAACCCCTAAACCCCTAAACCCCTAAACCCTAAACCCTTCAACCCTTCTAAATCATCTCTCCCCCTTCCGCCTTCAGGTTTGGCGCGGCATAAGCCGCACGTGCGCGTGAGCAAAACGAGTGCTATGGAGGGTTTATAGGGTACAGGGTTTATAAAGGGTGTATACAGGGTTTCAAAAGGGTGTATATAGGGTGCATGTAGGGTTTTTCAGGTATGTATATGGGGTTTACGAAAAAGCTAGGGTTTAGGGCCAACGAGATCACTGTATGAGGTTTGTGGCCCGCTTGAGCCGAAAGTGGCAGGGGTTCAGAGCTTTTTTCCGCCAAGGGTTCAGGGTTTTTGCAGCTTTGCACTCGAGGCTTCTGGTGTTCCGGGGCTCGGGATTCGTAGACACGCGTTTTGGAGCGTTTAAAGTTTTAGCGCTTCTAGGGTTGGCACTTTAGAGTTTAGTTGTTGTTTGAGGGTTTAGGGTTCAAGGCTTAGGATGTGTCTGGGATTTCTTGATACGACTTCCCTGTTCAGAGTCAGACTTCTTACCTCCACGTTTGTGAGGGTGCCGAAGCAGAAGTACGCATACCGCATCGACAAGCAAACACTTACAACAGACACACGGAAAACATAACTACGTGAAGCCTTTTGTGCAGACATGTACGAAGATACACACATCTACGACACAGAGAAAAACACAGAAAACACACACACACACACACACACAGGTACACATACACACCTATATACATACGCACATATACATGTACACACAGAGACACCCATGCATAACCATCTACACATGTATGTGCGTATCCGTGCGTGTGTGTGTGTATATATATATATATGTACATGTGTGTGTATGCTTATACGGATATCTGTATGTATATTTATGTGTATTTCTATGTGTATGTATATGTGTATATATATATATATATAGAACTGGGTATGTATATATCTGGACTTATGCATGTACCTATCGGTCTGTCTGTCTGTCGGTCTATATAGATGTCTGTGCAAATACTTGCAAGTAAGTTTTAAACAGTAAGTATCCCTTAAAGCAATTCCTTAAACCCTAAGCGTCGAGCACTTTTGGCATGCCTTTCGTGATACCTCAAGCGTGGCCTCGTGGGCAGCATCACCCAAAGCAGGCAGCAAGAGTACCAAGAACCGATGCGAGAACAACTACAACAGGCCCAAAATCCAAACCCTGAACCTTTTCCCCAAAACCTCAGACCCTCGAACCCCGAACCCTAGACCCCATAGAAGGCCCAGGGAGCGGTGTGAGCCACTCGCCCAAGATGGGCGCTGGCGCCAGCGCTCAGGACCTGGCCGCCGTGGACGACGCGACGCTCGTGGGCGTGATTGCGACGGATCCGGCTCCTAATCCTAATCCTCATGTTTAGGGTTTAGGGTTTAGGGTTTAGGGTTTAGGGTTTAGGGTTTAGGGTTTAGGGTTTAGGGTTCAGCATCTCTGGTCCAAGCATTCACTAGTTGAGCAGCTTTCAAGGCCATAGAGGAATACCCACCCGCCCATTGGGTCCCACACCATTAGGAAAATAATCCAATCTCCTTCTTCTCTAGGCAGCTCCGTGAAAATCCTAAACCCTGGCCCGGAGATCTGTGAAAATCCTGAACCCTAGGCCTCGGAGCTGTGAAAATCCCAAACCCTAGGCCTAGAACCCTAGACCGTGAAAATCCTAAACCCGAGCCCGGAGACCTGTGAAAATCCTGAACCCTAGGCCTCGGAGCTGTGAAAACCCCAAACCCTAGGCCTAGAATCCTATAGAATAGGAGGGCCAGGGAAGCCCTAGGCGTGAAATCCTGAACCCTAGGCCTCGGAGCTGTGAAAATCCCAAACCCTAGGCCTAGAACCCTAGACCGTGAAAATCCTAAACCCTAGGCCTCGGAGCTGGAAAAATCCAGCCTAAAGGCTCGAAATAAACAACTGTGAAAATCCTGAACCCTAGACCGAGGGCTCGAAAAAAAACAAACTGTGAACAACCTAAACCCTTGTTCTAGAGCTCGAAAAAGGAAGGAAACCTGAAAAATGAATCTTCCCCAACCCTCCCAGCCTCCCTCGAACATCAAAAAAGCCAGTGAAAACCCCGAACCCTAGCCCGATTCGAAGGCTTGTGCCTGTGTCCACGAAGGTTTGTGCCTATGTCCACGAAGGTTTGTGCCTATGTGCACGAAGGTTCGTGCCTGTGTCCACGAAGGTTTGTGCCTATGTCCACGGAGGTTTGTGCCTATGTCCACGAAGGTTTGAACATTATAATGTTCAAACCTTCGTGGACATAGGCACAGACCTTCGTGGACATAGGCACAAACCTTCGTGGACATAGGCACAAAACCAGTGATAAACCTGAACCCTAGGGCCACGAAGCCAGTGAAAAACCTGAACCCTAGGGCCACGAAGCCAGTGAAACCCTGAACTCTAGCCCGATTCCAGCTTCTTTGCCAATGTCCACGAAGGCTTGTGCCTATGTCCACGAAGGTTTGTGCCTATGTCCACGAAGGGGTTTAACATCTAAATACATATAGTAGGAGAGGTTTAGGGTTTAGCGTTTAGGGTTTAGGGTTTTGGGTTTAGGGCTACTAGGACCCGGGGTAGGCCCGTATTTCCCTATTTTGGGGTGGGGTTCCTGTAGAATGCCCTTCAAAACAAATAGGGCACCCTTTTTACACCTAGGTTCCTCTTGAGTCTAGTTATCCTTGTGAACTCAGTGAGCGCTAAGAGGTTTAGGTTTTAGGGTTTAGTTTTAGGGTTTAGGGGTTTGCGGTTGTAGGCTTTAGGGTCCACGGGCTGTACTGCATTATTGATATGGCAGCCCTAAACCCGAAACTCTAAACCCGAAACCCTAAACCCTAAACCCTAAACCCTAAACCCGAAACCCTAAACCCTAAACCCTAAACCCTAAACCCTAACCCCCTACCTAGGATCGCATCGAGCGGCTGCTCCGCACGGCTCGGCAGCAGCCGAGCAGTGGGGCCTCGAAGACCGAGGCCGGCCTTCCTAAGGGGTTTAGGGTTTAGGGTTTAGGGTTTAGGGTTTAGGGTTTAGGGTTTAGGGCTATTTTGGGGGTCTTGGTGGCCCAGTTGTGCCCTTTGCCGATTTTTTGGGGTATGGGTTCCCGTGTAAAATAACCACCCCCAAAAACGGGTGCCCTTATGGGGTATAAGGGTTTAAGGTTTTAGGGCTTTTGGGGGGCTTTGTTTTGAGTTGTATTTTGCTTTCGGATTCAGGGGCTTTAGTCCTTACTGGGTTTTCAGGGTTTTTTACGGGGGCTAGTGCTTTTTGTGGGTTTTTGGGTGTTTTTTTTTTTTTTTTCGGTTTTTTTGGGGTTTTTTTTTCTCCACTAGTCAAGCAGATTGTCAAGCGACGGAGACACACCCACCGGGCCATTGGGTCCCACAACATTCGAGAACCATTTGGAGATAAAAGGCGGCCTCTACAAAAGAGGCCCCAATAAATAGTAGGATTCCCTTTTTTATGCGGACTCCAAAGCGGAAGCCACCATTTCGCTGTACATAGACTTCCCCAAACCCGTTTAGATCTTACTTGTCTTCAAACAGCCTAAGGCCCAGTAGGCCCCTGGACCCTCAAGCCCAAACCACGCAGCCCTTAAACCCTCAAGCCCAAGCCAAGCAGTAGACCATAAGCCCCCAAACCCAAAGACACCCTTGTCCAGGAAAAGTGGGGCTCTTCTCCTGCACCCTTGCCCACGAATGACTCCAGGGGTTGAGAAGGATGCATGTGAAGGAGAGGACAAGGGTTATAGGTTTTACGGTTTTACGGTCTAGGGCCTTTAGGGCTTAGGGTGAAGTATTCCCCCCCCCCGCCCCCCCCCCCCCCAAACCCTAACTCCTAAACCACAAACCCTAAACACTAAACCCTAAACCCCCAAGCTCGAAGCCCCCCAGAACCAGGCCCAGGATTACGGCATAGCCTTCAGCTCTGGCTCCTCTGAGCCTGACTCTTCGTAGCTGAGTGAGCACACTTTACGCTTTTTTGGGACCCTAAACCCGAAACCCGAAACCCTAAACCCTCAACCACTATAACCCCCGATGGAGCTGAAAGTGCACACTTTTCGGGGGTTTATGAACTCAGCAACTAAGGACTGCAAGTGGGAATCCGTCAAGTCGGAAATCCAGTGCCGAGGTAGGCTAATGGGATTATTTTTCCCTTTAGTTAGGTTTAAGGTGATTCATGGCTTAGAGTTTAGGGTTTAGGGTTTAGGGTTTAGGTTTCAGGAATCTTGCTCAGAGGGTTTATGGGACCATCTTAGGTCCCGGAGCTGGCAAGTTTCTGGAAGTTGGGCCGTCCGCCAGTTTCGGTATCGCGTGCGGGGCGACCCGCACGACTCCGAGGGCAAGTCGCCCTTTGAGCATGCCAACTCCTACAGCATGCACCCTTAGCCGCATTTAGGGTTTTGGGTTTAGGGGTTTTAAGGGTTTGGGTTCGGGGGGGGGGTTGGGGGGGGGGGGGGTGGGGGGGGGGGGGGGGGGGGGGGGTTGGGGGGGGGGGGGGGGGGGGGGGGGGGGGGGTTTGGGGTGGGGGGGGTGGGGTGGCCAGTTTGGTCCGCACACGTGTTGGGTACCCATTAGCCAAAAAAGTGGAGGGTTAGGTGGGGTGCCTGCTTTGTGCTACCCATACACCTACGGCCCAAGGCCTCGGCGGATTTTTGGGTACTTCAATTCCTAACCAGCTGCAAACATATGCTTTTTGCTTGGGTCCCAAGTTCAGTATAGTCGAGGGCTCCAAATAGCCCGGAGTAGCTGTGTATAGCCTCTGAACCCCAAAAGTAGGTATTCAACCCCAAACCCTAAACCGTCAGTTCTCGCCTCTCAGAGCCCTCTCGCAGACGCGAGGCACCGTGCATTCCACCCACTCCTTCTCGGCAGTCGAGCAGCAGTGCCTTGGGGACCAAAGCAATCCCCCACAATAGGGGGGGTTTAGGGTTTAGGGTTTAGGGTTTAGGGTTTAGGCTTTAGGGTTTAGGGTTTAGGCTTTAGGCCTACCACAATTCTTCTTGAGGTGTATGAACCAGAAGCCTTTGGGGTTCATGTGGCCCCGAAGGTGGTCTGGCAGAACCGAATCGGATGGGAACCCGTGCCGCTCGTACCTTTATTGGGTTTAGGGTTTAGGGTTGAGGGTTGAGGGTTTAGGGTTTGGGGAAACCCCAACACATTTCAACGCCCTAAATGCCTAAACCCCAAACCCTAAAATCCCAAAATCCTACAATCCCCAAACCCCCCAATCCCTGCAATCCCAAAAACCCTAAAGCCCAAAACCCTGAACCACAGAGCGCACGTATAAGCCCTGCAGCCCTAAACCCAAAACAACCCCAGAGTAAAAGGTTGTCCTTGGCATGTGCACCCTTATACTACCAGTCCTTACTAGGGATTCTGGTACCCCTATTGTTCAGGACTGTTAGTACAAGGGGGAACATCCCAAGCCCTAATCCCTAAACCCGAAGCCCTAAACCGTAAACCCTAAACCCTAAACCCTAAACCCTAAACCCTAAACCCTAAACCCTAAACCCTAAGCCCTAAGCCCTAAACCCTAAACCCTAAACCCTAAACCCTCCCAAGGTTATCCATTTTCGGGGACGACTTCTGCAGCCACGAGCAAGTCACCCTGCCCAGCGCCGAGCACGCGACCTTGGCGGGCGCTGCACATGACGGAAAGGATCCTGGGGCCTTGCTCCTTGGTTTTAGGGTTTAGGGTTTAGGGTTTAGGGTTTAGGGTTTAGGGCTAGGGGATTCTAGAGATCCATGAGGGACAGAGGGGGACTGCAGGGGGATTTTAGTTTAGGATCGTGCGGGGAAGTGGAATAGCAACTATCATATTAGAATAACCCCCCATAAGGCCTGATGTAGACCTATATTCGTCCCCATACACCTAAGTGGCCCCTAAATGACCCCCAAATAACCCTAGGATGCCCAGTAGTGCCCTTGTTCCCTTTTTGGGGGGTTTAGGTTCCCTTATAAGCCCCTTTAAGCAAAAACGGGCACCCTCTTTAAGCCCAGGTTACTGGGCAGCCTAGTATTAGAATAACCCCCCCAAAACCCTGTTCCAATGATTAAGGCGCTTATATTAGTTTAGGGCATAGAGGCTTACAGGCTTCGAGGGAGTTGTTCTAAGGACTTAGGGACTTCAGAGTTTCGGGCGAAGAGCGGGAATCAGGAGTTTCAAGTTGAGTGGTGCGGGGTTTAGGTAAATCAGGGTTGCGGAGTTTTGGATTGAGGCTCTTGCGTGCGAAGGTTAGTGCATCAAAGCCTCAAAAACACGCCATGTGCCCTACAGACCCTGGCCTACCGGTAGAGTTTCTTTTCTTGGATCCTGGGACCAGTGCCACGCAACCTAAGCCCTAAACCCTAAACCTAAACCCTAGGTCACGCAGGGCTTCTTCGTAGTCCAGTTGGCATAAGATGAGCCTCATTGTGCTTGCAGAATCGCGGTATATGATCCCGAAGCCTGACCTTGTGGTTCCCCTCGGAAACCCAACAAGTAAGGCGTAACAGCCAGGTTCTGAGGGCATAGGTTTTAGTAAGGGTGACACTTCACGAAAAATGCCCTGAACCCTCGGCCCTACACCCTCGCAAACCTGAAACCTTAAATCCTAAACCCTAAACCTAAACTTAGCCCTAAACCCTACACCTAAACCCTGAACCCAAAGTGATCAGGTTTCTCCTCATGGTTCAGTGGGGCGACGGCCGCCCGGCCGAGAAACGCTGCCTCACGGTCATCAAGGCGGCCGTGGATGGCACAGAGTTAAAGCGCGAGGTCCTGGATGGTGGAGAAGACGGTCTGAACATGGTTCCTACAGCTTCGTTTTAGGGTTTCGGGTTTAGGGTTTCGGGTTTAGGGTTTAGGGTTTAGGGTTAGGGGTTTAGGGTTTAGGGTTTAGGGTCAAGTTTCTGGGGGCTTTGGGCTTCTGCAGAGTGGGGCCTTATCCGCTTGCTCTAGGGTCTAGGTGCCGTTCGAACTAAGCCCTCTATTGAACCAAGAAGGGCACCAAGGGTTTAGGGTTTAGGGTTTAGGGTTTAGGGTTTTAGGGTTTAGGGTTTAGGGTTTAGGGTTTAGGGTTTAGGGTTTAGGGTTTAGGGTTTAGGGTTTGGGTGTTTTTGGGTCCATTGCTTGTCGGGCTTCATGCGATCCTAGATTAGATTTGTCATGCGACGATTGAGTCGTTTCTTTGCTTGGTGTTGTTGGAAGCAAGGGGCTCTATGCTACCCCAGCCTTAGCTACTCCCCCCCCACCCCCTCCTCACCCCCAACCCAAAATAGGGCCCAAGCGGGGTAGTGTACCCTAAGCCCTAAACCCTAAACTCTAAACTGCCCTAAATCCCTAAACTCTAGGACCCCCCACACAAACGCCCACGATGCTTAAGACATCCAGGTCCTCTTCGGCCACTATGACGACCAAACCCAAACCCAGCCTCCTCTCTACGGCGCACAGCTCTCTGTAGCCTCTTGGCTATTCTTCTGATTCTGGCCCTTAGGACCTAAACCTCTTGGGTTTTCGTAGGACTTTCACGTCGTGGGCTTTTGTAGGACTTGAACCTTTTGAATTGGGCTTTTGTGGGGCTTTACCCTTTTGGGGGTTTTGTAGAAACTACAAGAAGGAGTGTAAAACCCTAGACCCTAAACCCTAAACCCTAAACCCCAAACCCCTAAACCCTAAACCCTAAACCCTAAACCGAGGGGCTTCAGAAGTCAGCCAAGGCATGTGCTGGCGGCCAACTCGGTGTATGCATGGCCCGCTTCATGCACAGGTCCGACGCTGGGCGCCTGAATAGTTCACTTGAAGGGTTTAGGGTTTAGGGTTTAGGGTTTTAGGGTTTAGGGTTTAGGGGTTAGGGGTTAGGGGTTAGGGGTTGGGGTTCAGGGTCTTAACGGTATAAGGAGGGACCCCTAGAAGGGACCCTTAATCTTATGCCCCTGTATAGCCCTCATGTAGACCTATATTAGTCCCCATATACCTAAGTAGCCCCTAAATAACCCCAAATGACCCCTAAGGTCCCTTATAACCCTAAACCCTGAACCCTAAACCCTAAACCCTGAACCCCAAACCCTAAACCCTAAACCAAGCGTCCCTCCTTTAGTCCCTTGGATTATGCTGAGGCCTGTGCCAACTGAAGATCCACAGCCATTCATTCTTGGGGCCTTCAAATGGCATCCATACAATCATGGCCTGAATAATGTCACCCCCCCACATACTAAACCCTAAACCCTAAACCCTAAGCCCTAACCCCTAACCCCTAAACCCTAAACCCTAAACCCTAAACCCTAAACCCTAAACCCTAAACCCTAAACCCTAAACCCGAATGTAATGTAGCCGAGGTGGAGGAGGTGAGGCTGGGTTGAAAGGCTCGTAGAGTGGTCCTTCACCTACCTGAGCAGACAGAGCAAGTAACCGTACCCAAAAATTACTCGCTGTAGGAGTTTTCCTGCATGTGATCACTTCTCTAGAATATGGCCCCTTTTGGTGTCCTCATATTGCAAGGCGGCTCTTCTTACTAAGGGTACCCAAAAAAGGACCTTCATTTTGAGAACTGGCCACAATATAGTTTTCTCTAGGTAGGGCTCGGCAACTACCCTACCCTACGCGATCTCGAAGGAACCCCAACCCCCCCCCCCCCCCCCCCCCCCCCCCCCCAAAAAAAAAAAAAAAACACGTACCAAACATGACTTGTGGTGCCTACTGCCAATTCCCTTGATCCCAGTATCCCAACCCTTAAAGGAGGTGTACCCCCAAAACAGGGTTTACGGTACAGGTGTCTAGGTAACCCCGCCCTGAGCCCTGAGCCCTGAACCCGCAACTCTCAACCCTAAAAACTCCCAGCCTAAACCCTAGTTAAAGCCCAAGCACGAAAAGCCTAAAAACCCTACAAATCCTAAGACCTAAAACCCCGCTGAACCCTAAACCCTAGCCCTAAACCCTAAACCCTAAACCTCAAAAGGATGATGGGCTGAATCACCAGGGCGGGATCTGGTTCACCTTGAGCGCGGACACGCTGCAGGATTGGAGCCGAAACAAGGGCTCTTGCAAGGGAAACCCTAAACCCTAAGCCCCAAACCCCAAACCCTGAACCCTGAACCCTAAACCCTAAACCCTAGACCCTAAACCCTAAACCCTAAACCCTAAACCCTAAACCCTAAACCCTAAACCCTAAACCCTAAACCCATCCCTGCAGTTTCAGCAGCGGCCCGTGCGGACCAGCAGCCACTCTTTGGATTCCGCCGTCACGACCAGCCTAGACCGGCACGGATACCCAGAGTCCCTTGGAGAGTTGACTGCTCAGGGTTTAGGGTTCAGGGTTTAGGGTTTAGGGTTTAGGGTTTAGGGTTTGGTGTTTAGGGAGCCCTAAAACCCTAAACCCTAAACCTCAAGACAAAGTAAATAGAAGTTGTGTGCGGCATCTCATTGTGAGTTTTCCCAAAGCCCAGGGGTACCCTTTGCCCTTCTTGGTTGGTTCAAGGCTCCGTTATAAAGTAACCCTCAACCCTCAACCCTGAACCCTAAACCCTAAACCCTGAACGCCACATCGCTTGGCCCTTCTTCTAAGATGGTTACTGGGCTACCAAGTAAAGGGCCATCCCCTTTACTTCCTCTAGGATCTTCAGACCCTAGGCAGCCTTGACGCTACGAATCTTGGGGTTCATGGGCGCAGTAAACCCCAAAAGGGTTTAGGCTTTAGGGTTTAGGTTGGGCCAAGTTTAGGGTTTAGGGTTTGGGGTTTAGGGTCTAGGGTTTAGGGTTTAGGGTTTAGGGCTTGTAGGGCTACCCCAAACCCTAAACAGGTTTCTGTGCTGCGATCTCGGTGACGCCTACCCGCGAGGATTGTTCCTTGCTTCCACATAACCGCGGCCTCCGCGTTTCATTTGGGCATTTTCCAATTTGGGGTACCTCTTTTATACCCCACATAGAATAGAATCCCCTGAAAAGGGAACTGAAAACCCCCCCCCCCCCAAAAAATTTTGCAAGAACACAAAGTCCCCCTTGTGAAACAGAAAGGGTGCCCTGTCGCTTTCAGGTTGCTCTGGTTATATACCCTCCGTCGATTTTCGGGCTCAGGTCTTAAGAAACCCTAAGCCGCAAACCCCGCATCCTGAAAACCCAAGACCTCCAACCCGAAATTCCGAACCCTCCAACCTAAACTGCCAGGGGTTTGGGGTCATAGTCTAGGGCAGGTGGCTTCATCCGATTTGTAGGTCAGGACTAATTACAGGCTTACCTAAGTTCTCTAATTTGCCGTAGTACTGGCTGGTAAATTCAAAGCCTCTCAATATTTTGAGGGCAGGCGATTCTTGCGGGTAGGTCGAATGCTTTGGTAGGGTTCGGGGTTTAAGGTGTTAGTCCCTTGCAGTTGCGTGTCTCTGACACGCCCTGCATGACGCCCAAGCCTTAAGCAAAAAAGGGCACCAGTCCAGAAACACTGAGCATTAGTACAATCTGCATGCTACGTACACATGTGGGGGGGGGTTCCGAGATTCGGGGTACCTTCACAAGGTCCTTGCTATAAGGGAGTCCGACTCCTTGGGGATCTATTTTGGGGTCTCTCTTTTCGTAAACCCCTAACCCCTAACCCCTATACCCTAAACCCTAAACCCTAAAACCTAAACCCTAAACCCCCATAAGGCGCTGTTGTCCTCCTGAGGCACCTGCATCGCTTCGTGAACCGGGCCTTCGGCGGCGGTGGAAACCAGGGCCTCGTGGTTTACTCCTACAAGTGCCGCCACGGGGAGGCTCGGAAGAGGGATTTCAAAGCCTTCGACAACTCTCAGAGTCCTAAGTCTTGTTGCAGGTTCGCTTAGACCCTTAACCCCCTTAACCCCCTTAACCACCTTAACCCCCTAAACCCCCTAAACCCCCTAAACCCCCTAAACCCCCTAAACCCCCTAAACCTCCTAAACCTCCTAAACCCTAAACCCCCTTCTTTTCAACGATTCAGGACTTCTTCAACTATGAGCCCTTTGGAGTCTCCGCTATAGGGTTTGGGGGTGAGGGTACTTCGTGCAGCAAAGGGGCTCCTACTTAGATGTCTCCCAGGTGCACAAGAGTCCCTGAACCCCAAACCCTGAACCCTAAACCTTGTAAGCAACGTCTTTCGCAGGCCTGTGCCACTTTGGCAAGCCAGTGCTCATGTATGCTGTATCTGCGCACGAATAGACTTGGAAGGCGCAGCACAACTGTGTCCTAAACCCCTAAACCTTAAAACCTAAACCCTCGACCCTTAACCCTCAGCCCTTAACCCTGAACCCCGAACCCCTCACCCCTCACCCCTACCTACGAACGGAGCCCTCACAACCCCAAAAAACCTAAACCCTAAACCCTAAACTCTAAACCCTAAACCCTAAACCCAGGCTCCGAAGAACGATGCGGGGATGGAGTTCGAGGCCTACGAGACACTGAATGCCACAGCGGGTGGGCAGGAGAACGCTCCGACCTACTACAAGCCACTGGGACTCCCCAAGGTTGAGGGTTTAGAGGTTTAGGTGTTTAGGGGTTTCGGGGTTTTTGGTTTAGGGTTTAGGGTTTAGGGTTAGGGTTTAGGGTTTAGGGTTTAGGGTTGAGGGGTTTCGGGGTTTAGGGTTTAGGGTTTAGGGAAGCCCGAAGATTGACGTGGTAGGGAGCATCTATGTGTTAACCATTTGCCGGAAGTACTACAAGATTCACCGCTGGCACCCCGGGAAGTTTTCCCGAGTCAGGGTCTAGGGTTTAGGGTTTAGGGTTTAGGGTTTAGGGTTTAGGGTTTAGGGTTTAGGGTTTAGGGTTTAGGGTTTAGGGTTTAGGGTTTAGGGTTTAGGGTTCAGGCTTCTGAAGGGATATTGATTGTAGACTGGAGGGCTCAGGGTCTGTGACGTATGGCAGGCCCGGCAAGGGCAGTGTTTCAAAGCTACCCTGTGCCCTCAAGCTACTATTAGAATGGCCTGTAGGCGAATGAGTTTCGGTACCTTCTGGGTCACCCTAAACCCTGAGCCCCAAACCCCAAATCCCAAACCCTAAACCCAGAAAGTCAAAAGACCAAACGCCAGCAAACTGCTGAGAGGTGGAGCAACGACAACGCTTGCTACACCGAGCTGGGAGGCGTGGTGTCGGTGGGGAACTCCATCGCGGTCGCTTTTGCGGGAGAAGGCGCCCGCCCTAGCGCTAAACCCCAAACCCCAAACCCCCCAAAGGGTCCCAAGTGCCTACATAGTCAATAGTAGAAAGGTAGGGTTTCTATAATAGCAATAACAATTATGGTTTGGATAAGTGTTGCCCCATATAGGTACTTAGGACCCTTTGGGCCCTATAAATCCCAAGGGCCCTAAGGCCTTACGTTCACTTGCAAGCTCTTTGTCCATGACTTTTAGAAAGCTTCATATTCTGCAAGCTGAAGCCCCAAACCCTCCTCTGTGGACCTGGCCCGTTCCGTGGGTTTAGGGTTACATCTCGAACACCCCAAGCTTCTTCGCGCAGATCCAAGCAGAAGCCCAAGGTGGAGTCAAGGGGTGGGAAGTTTTTGGCGGAGCTGTGGACCCAAACCCCATAACCTCTACAAACCCTACAAACCCTGCAAACCCTGCAAACCCTACAAACCCTAGAAACCCTACAAACCCTAGAAACCCTGGAAACCCTGTAATCCCTAAAAATCCTAAACTTTTTTTGGCGGGACGGGGGTGTGAACGGAAAATTTTCTACGGAGTCCTGCACCTGGTCTAGGATGCCCAGTAGTACCCTTGCTCCCTTTTTGGGGGGTTTAGGTTCCCTTATAAAGCCCTTTAAGCAAAAAAGGGCACCCTTTTTAAGTCTAGGTTACTGGGTAGCCTAGTGGTTGTTCTGGGACCTAGGCTGCGCGAGTCTCTACTCCCCAGTTCGTGGTTAGTGGAAGTAGCAAACCCCCTAAACCCTAAACCCTAAACCCTAAACCCTAAACCCTAAACCCTAAACCCTAAACCTTGTTCCGCAAGTCCAGATCTTAGGGACTGGGTAGATAACCCGAAACCTTTTTTTGTTTTTTGGAATCCTACAAAGTATGCCTGGTTAACCTTTTTTGGGCTAGGGGATTTAGCCCCTAAGAGACAGGGTGTTGCATGGCTTTAGGATGCGACCCCTAAACCCTAAACCCTAAACCCTAAACCCTAAACCCTAAACCCTAAACCCTAAACCACTCTTTCATATATAATATAAATGTTAATGGCTTTGCGGGCAAGGTCCGAAAATTAGTGGGCAAGGTCCGAAAATTAGCGGGCAAGGTCCGAAAATTAGCGGGCAAGGTCCGAAAATTAGCGGGCAAGGTCCGAAAATCAGCGGGCAAGGTCCGAAAATCAGTGGGCAAGGTCCATTGGCTGCCCCACGACCTTGCCCACTAATTTTCGGACCTTGCCCGCTGACCCACCACCTTGCCCACTGATTTTCGGACCTTGCCCACTAATTTTCGGACCTTGCCCGCAAATTTTCGGACCTTGCCCGCTAATTTTCGGACCCGGGAAAGGCCCGAGAATTAGCGGGCAAGGTCCGAAAATTAGCGGCAAGGTCCAAAAATTAGCGGGCAAGGTCCGAAAATTAGCGGGCAAGGTCCGAAAATTTGCGGGCAAGGTCCGAAAATGAGCGGGCAAGGTCCGAAAATCAGTGGGCAAGGTCCAAAATTAGCGGGCAAGGTCCGAAAATTAGGGGCAAAGGTCCGAAACTAGTGGGCAAGGTCCTTGCCCCCCCACCCCCCCACCCCCCCCCCACCCCCACCCCCCCCCACCCACCCCCACCCCCCCCCCCCCCCCCCCCCCCCCCACCCCTCCTTCACCCCCCTTCCTCAGCCCCCTTCCTCCCGCAACGGGTGGTGCTCAGTTGAAAACGTGTCTGACTTGGGTAGGTGATGAAAACCTTATATTTTCTTAATGTTATGGGATTCTTTGGGCGGGTGGGTTTTTTTCCGTTGCCTGAACACACTACTGGCCTAGTAAATGCTCGAACTTGAGATGCTGAACCCTAAACCCTAAACCCTAAACCCTAAACCCTACATCTAAACCCTAAACCACTGAGGCTCCCCCCATCTGGACTGCCTGTCATCCGCACCTTTTGCCTCTGTGCCTACGGAGAGGCATCTGCCCGCATCGCCCGGTTGGAAGCCGTAGTCCCTCATGGTTTGGCCCCAAACCTAGACCCTAATGAAACCCTAAACCCTAGTTAGACCCTAAACCCTAGTTAACGCCTAAACCCTAAACCATAAACCTCAGGGCTAGTACGTAGCAGCATTGCGGAAGCCGCCAGAGTTCTAGATCCTGAAAGCCCAAAGCCGTACATTGGTGTTGTTTTGTGATTGTTTTTGGTGTTTCCCGTTTAGGGCTTAGGGTTTAGGCTTCAGGTCTTACACAAAAAGCGCACACCGCCCAAATTCAAGTGGAAGCCACCGGGAACATACCATTGTCGTTGAATATAAGTGTTCTTCTTACTACTGTCATTATTGTGATGAGTACTACTACTATCATTCTCATAGTGGCATGCTACTTTTAAATGTTCGCATTATTCTTATTATATTGTTATTTTATTGTTCTTATATTATTTTCAGATATTATTATTATTATTATTTCTGTTGTTAATGTTATTGAATAGTTTTATTCGACCCCAAACACTTCTGGCCCGAGTCCCTCAAGAAGCCCCTCCGGGAGTTGTTGCGAAATCGGGGTTCCTCTCAGGGTTTAGGGTTTAGGGTTTAGGGTTTCGAAGAACCCCGATATCCTTTAAAGAGGCTTCGGGTTCGTGGTTCACCTACCCTAATCCACTCAAATCCCAAACCTTAAACCCTAAACCTGAAGAGCTGAAGCTTAAGAGACCCAAGGATGGTTTACGTTTCGGGGCCACTGAGGTATATGGGACTCTTTTTTCCTGTGGTAACAAGCATGGGTTGCCCTCAGGGTCCACGTACCTCATGAGTACCCTCAGGGTCCATGTACACCCTAAACCCTAAACCCTAAACCCTAAACCCTAAACCCTAAACGTACATGGGCCCAACAATCACTATATAGGAGGTGCTTTTTTAAGGCCCCAGTCCCAAGTATTCTCTACTTTGGTACATGGACCCTTATAGGGTTATATACTAGGTATCTCTCAAACTCGAAGCTTCCTAGCCCAAGCGGCCGAGCTGTACGCCTGCAGGCACCGCATCACCCCGCGAAATCTGGGCATCGTGTCGGTGCGGAAGAACATGGAAGGACCTGGCGGGGAGGCGCGCCTGCGAAGAGGATGCTTTCTTGGGCACAAACTCCTACAGGCCCACCTTTGTCACCTGACCCTTCGGTTTTTGGCCTAGTCCCCTAAACCTTGAACCCGGAATCCACCTGCATCCCCTACTCAACCCATTATCGCAGACCACAATCAACATCCATGCGCGAGCTGGGTTGAATGCGCAGGGCTCAACAGATGCTTTGGTGAGCTGTACTTACATGTTGCAGAGCAATTCCCACGCGTGGAGCCTTCCGAAACCCTCACGGTATCCATCGTGATGGCCTGGACGTTTTATGCCGTCTAGGTGTGGTTACTGTCAGTGCCACTGTTGTCCTGGCTACAAGAATTACCGCTATGAGGTTATACAATGTATCATCGAAGTTGTTCCTTGTGCTCTATGCGCACTCTGAGGGTCTTAAACCCTAAACCCTAAGCCCTAAACCCTAAGCCCTAAACCCTAAACCCTAAGCCCTAAACCCTAAGCCCTAAACCCTAAACCCTAAACCCAAAACCTAAACCCTAACCCCTCCCTGTTATGACCCGACCGCGCCTGGGAGGTGTGGACAACGAAGAGCGACTACAGCCATAAGGGCGGCTTCTACGCCTTCCGCGGGGAATGGCAAGAGCAGGCTGGCATCACGTCTTGGTGGGGGCTTAGGGCTTGGGGTTTGGGGTTGGGGTTTGGGGTTTGGGGTTTAGGGTTTATAGGGTTTGGGGTTTAGGGTTTAGGGTTTAGGGTTTAGGGGGATTTAGGGTTTGGGTGAAAAGCCCGGACCCTCAAACTACTCGATGCACGCTGCGTAGGCTCCAGTGGCGAGTTAAAGGCAGTTTGGTAAACAGCGAGTTTGCATTATACATTGGTATGTACAGTGGGTTCGTTGTGTGTGTAGGAAAAAGGCATGAACAACAAAACCAGGGCAAAAAGCGTGGGGAAAACCACTTGCTTTTTCACAAGATATGTACAGCTGATCAGTCATGTTTCAATTTGGCGTTCGGGCAGCGGCTCCGATTTCAGCAAACCCTAAGCCCTAATTAAGCCCCAAACCCGAAACCCGTGAAGGGTTGGTTTTGTTGCCGTGGGCCATCGAATCCTTTGCAGCACAGGCATTTCCGCGAACCCTAAACCCTAATCCCTGAACCCTGAACCCCAAAAACCCTCCACCCTCAACCCTCAACCCGTGTTGAAGGTTGGTTGTATTTCTGTGGGGCATCGCATCCTTTTCAGCACAGGCATTTCAGCAAACCCTAATCATGGGCGTAATCACCGTGCCGGCATGCATGCTCAAGCCATTCGCACGCGCTGGCGCGCTGGTAACACGTAAGCATGCTGCAAAGCTCTGAAGTATGCAGGCTGCCCCGCGGGCGTCCGCGCACAGTGTTCCAACCACTCATCACGATAAACCCTAAATCCGAAACCCTAAACCCTAAACCCCCCAAACCCTCCAAACCCCCTAAACCCCCTAAACCCCCTAAACCCCCTAAACCCCCTAAACCCCCTAAACCCCAAACCCCCCAAACCCCCCAAACCCCCCAAACCCCCCAAACCCCCCAAACACCCTAAACCCCCTAAACCCCCTAAACCCCCTAAACCTTAAACCTTTAAGCCTTAAACCCTTTCCCTACACCCTAAAGCCCTGGATGTGGTTTCGGAGCCCAGCGGTTTGTCTTCGGAAAGATGGCACATCGACCTGCAGGGCGCCGTTAGGGTTTATGGTTCAGGTTTAGAGAGGCTTAGGGTTTAGGGTTCAGGGTTTAGGGTATTGAGGATGGATGACTCGTTCACTCCCTTTGTAGTTCCGGGCTGAGGGGTGCTCTCCATCCCTAGACCCTAAACCCTAAACCCTTGACCCTAAACCCCAAGCCCTAAACCCTACCCCTAAACCCTAGAAGGCCGGCCTTCGTCATGGCAGGCCGTGCAGAACGTCTGCTGGCTCACAGACTTGAAGGGCGACGCCAACGTCTCGCGGCTGAGGGCTTCTTGGTAGCCGAGTGGTACCCTTTCCCCTTTTTTGGGGGTTCAAGGTGCCCTTATAAATGGGGTTTAGGGTTTAGGGTTTAGGGAAACCCTAAACCCTAAACCCTAAACCCTAAACCCTAAACCCTAAACCCTAAACCCTAACCCCTAAACCCTAAACCCTATACCCAACAAGGGGTGCCCTCATTCTAAGATGGGCTACCAAGGCCTGTGCCCTGGGAAGTCAGGTGCTGCTGCTCTGGGAACTCTGGAGCGCCTTGTTGGCTTCTAAGGGTTTAGGGTTTAGGGTTTAGGGCTTGGGGTTTAGGGTATAGGGTTTAGGGCTTGGGGTTCAGGGTTTAGGAGGCCCAAAGGTTTCGGGTGTAGGGCTTAGGCCTTGGACTGTGGGTCTCCGAACCCGCCTGGATAACACAACAATGCCAAGTACAGGAACAAAGCCTAGGACCAAAAGGAGGCCCCTTTTTTCCTTTTTGGTTTAGGGTTTAGGGTTTAGTGTTTAATTTATGGATTAGGGTTAAGGGTTTAGGGCTACTAGGACCCGGAGTATCGCCTTTTTCCTTTTGCTTAGGGTTGGGGTTCCCTGATAATCCCCTTAGAACCAAAAAGGGCACCCTTCTTGTTCCTAGGTTACTCCCGGGTCTAGAAGCACGAGCAAAGAAGACTGACGTAGATTCTTGGCTTTCTTGGGACTTTACCAGCTTCATGAAATCTCGCATGGGGTCAGATACCCCTAAACCCTAAGCGCAATTCACTATATTTCCTATTGTCAGGACCCTTCTTGGGTTAATTCTGGGGTTGGTCTCAAAAGGCTTTAGGGTTTTTTGGCTTCGGGCTTGAAACGTGAAGGACAAAATATCAGAGTTGCGTGCTCGCGCCCTGAGAGTGCAGAAGGTTATCATCGGACGCTTAGCAAAAGATCTTTTTAGTGAAGAGGCCCTAGAATTTTGTGGAACCCGAAGCCCCTAAAACCCGAAAGATCTAAACGCCCTGAACCCTAAACCCGGAACCTTAAACCCCAAAAACCCCAAACCCTGAACCCCAAACCGCAAACCCTAACCCCTAAACCCTACACCCTAAACCCTAAACCCTAAACCCTGGCATCCAGAGGTAGAAGCTACATCACCACCTGCGCGCAATGCGTGGACGAGAAAGGGGAGCCGGTCAGTGAGGTCCTAAACCTTGGCACGCAGATCAGGCGAAAGGGGGGTTTTAGGGTTTAGGGTTTAGGGTTTAGGGGTTAAGGGGGGATTTTGTGTTTCGCTCTTTTGTTTAGGGCTTAGCTGTAGTTGTAGGCCTAGACCCTAAACCCTAAGCCCTGAGGGAAACTGATAAACACCTTATAAAACCTAAAGATTGCGCAGGCCAGCCCTACACCCCAAACCCTAAACCCTAATGAAACCCCAAACCCTAAACCCTAAAGCCTAAACCCTAAACCCTAAACCCTAAACCCTAAACCCTAAACCCTAAACCCTAAACCCTAAGCCTAAACCCTAAACCCTAAACCCTAAACCCCAAACCCGTACTTTCAAGATACCAGTTAAACAGGCTTGGTCGCCGGACAGAGCCTCTGGCCACGGCCAAGGGGGATGTCATCATCGTGCAGCTTGGTCGAGGAGCCCGCAGGTCTGGGTTTTAGGGTTTAGGGTTTAGGGTTTAGGGTTTAGGGTTTAGGGTTTAGGGTTTAGGGTTTAGGGTTTAGGGTTTAGGGTTTAGGGTTCAGGGTTCAGGGTTTAGGGTTTAGGGTTTAGGGCTGGCTGAGGGTAGTTTGATGGCCTTGATATGGCCCCTTACCTTCTTCAAAGGCTTCTGAAGTATGGGCCCTTGAGTTGTATAAGGCATATGAAGGGTATATAAGGGCCCCCCCCATGTGAAGTGCCCATCTTCAGGGACCATGTAACTACCCCTAAGAGTGTGGGGCTCTGAGGTTTGAGGTCAGGGTTCTGGGGGTTAGGGTGTTTGGTGAATACGGTCCCTTAATTTGGGAGCCCTACCCAAGGGCCCATACTTCAGAAGCACCCAGATCTTCCAACAGCCCAGTTCGGGTTGTTAGGGTTCAGGGTTCAGGGTTCAGGGGTATAGGGTATATGGTATAGGGTTTAGGGTTCAGGGTTTAGGGTTTAAAAGCGTCAGGATGTAGATGTCGCGGCGCGGCCCATGGTTTGGTAGTAACTTGATCGCTTAGTATGGGCCTTAATTGGGGAACCCCTATACACCCCTTATGTGCCGCATAAATCCAAGTGCCCGTCCTTCAGAACCCCTTAAAAGAAGGTCAGGGACGACACTCAGGCCCCATGTAGCTTCCCCAGACCCTAAACCCTATAAACCCTGAACCCTGTAAACCCTGAACCCTGAACCCTAAACCCTACCCTAAACCCTAAACCCTAAACCCTAAACCCTAAACCCTAAACCCCAAACCCCAAACCCCAAACCCCAAACCCCAAACCCCAAACCCCCAACCCCAAACCCCAAACCCCACACCCCAAACCCCAAACCCCAAACCCCAAACCCCAAACCCCAAACCCCAAACCCCAAACCCCAAACCCCAAACCCCAAACCCCAAACCCCAAACCCTTCCCTTAGAACGGTTACCTGGCATGCTCTGGCTGTACAGCCGAGGTTTTGTCTTGTAGTAAAGCTGGGGGTAAGGGGGAGCTCTGAGGGTTTAGGGTTTAGGGTTTAGGGTTTAGGGTTTAGGGTTTAGGGTTTAGGGTTTGGGATCTAGAGCCCTAATCCTGCAACCTAAGCCCTAGGGCCCCTAAATCCCTAAACCCAAAGAAAGTCCCAAAGCTGCACCCCTAAAGCCCTTAAAGCCTAAGTCATAACACCTAAAGACCCTAAACCGTAAATCCCTATACACCCCAGAACCCCAAAACCCTGAACCCTAAAGCCCTAAATCCTAGAACCCTACCCTAAACCCTAAAACCCTAAAACCCTAAACCTGTATCCTAAAACCCTATAACCCCAACGCCCTAAAACCTAAACCCCACAACCCTAGACCCTAAAACCCTAAATCCTAAACCACAAACCCCCAAACCCTAAACCCTAAAGCCCTAAAACCTTAATCCTAAAACCCTAAACCTCGAGAAACGCCCCAACTCCCGGCCCAGGCAGCGGCACGACGGCCCGGATGGCCCCGAACTGGAGGTCGAAACCGGGAGGGCTTTTGGGGGGTTTAGGGTTTAGGGTTTAGGGTTTAGGGTTTAGGGTTTAGCGTTTAGGGTTTAGGGATGTTCCCTGTTATACTAATTTTCCCCCTTATACTAACTAGGGATAATAGTACCCCGTATTATAATCCTTAGAAAGGACTGTTAGTATAATGGTGAACATTCCAAATTCAGGGTTTAGGGTTCAGGGCTTAGGGCTTTTGGGGCTGTAGGCGGGGAGGGTTGGGGTTTGGGGGTTTTTGAGGGCTTTGGGGCTTCTAGGGGTAACCCTAAAACCTAAACCCTAAAGGTTTTGGTATGTTGGGGCCTTTGGGCTTTGGGAACTTCAGGGGGGTTAGGTCTTCGGGGTTTAGGCCTTGAGGTTCAGGGGTTTCGGGTTTTGTGATTTGGGTTCAAGGGGTGTTGAGGGCTTGGGGATTTTGGGGGTTAAGTTTTTGAGTTTTACATTCTTTTGATTTTTCGCCTTTTTTTTTTTTGGGGGGGGGGGGGGGGGGGCGGTTGAATAGGGTTCAGGGTTTGGAGTCTAGGCTTTCGGGCTCAGGGGGTTTGGGCGTCTCCCACTATCAGGTCGCTTACTTTTCTGCAGCATCTACCGTTATGGACTCTTGACCCACTCTTAGGTGTAGTTGGGGGGGGGGGGATGGGGGTCTAGGTATGGATTTTTTCGAGATTAGAGCAGGAACCCTCAACCCTAAACCCTAAACCCTAATCCCTAAACCCTAAACCCTAAACCCTAAACCTGAGGAGCTTCGGTTTTCAGAGCTAGGTGTTTGGGGCCCGTGAGGCGCCTGATGGTCCCAAAGCAGTTTTAGGGTTTAGGGTTTAGGGTCTATAGGGTTTAGGGTTTAGGGTTTAGGGTTTAGGGTTTAGGGTTGAGGGTTTAGGGTTTAGGGTTTAGGGTTTAGGGTTTAGTTTTGTATGAGCTTGCTCCTTTGAAGCGTTTGGGGCAGGCGCTTGCATGATTACGACCATCATCCCTGACAATGCCTGATCATAGAAAACGCAGCATGCCCATGGAACGCGTGGCCATACCGGTGGGAGCTGCCCCTGCTGAGGCTGTCGAAAGATCAGCATGGGCCTCCGGCAAGAGTGATTGCATAGGACTTGGCACGGGTCTGGACCCCCTGTCCGCAGGCACAGGGTCGGAAGAGAAAGCCCCAGATCAACCTCGGCTGAAACTCTTCTGGGAAGTTCGGAAGGGCGTCTTTGACATGCATCCTCGACGATTCGACTCAGCACCCTGAGCCCTGTAGAACCCTAAGCGCGATAAACCGCGAACACCTGAAAACCCAAAACCCCTGAGCCCTAAAACCCTAAGCCCTAAGCCCTAAACCCTAAACCCCTGAGCCCTAAACCCCTGAGCTGTAAACCCTAAACCCTAAGCCCCTGAGCCCTGAGGCTCTAAAGCCGCGAACCAACCACAAGCCGCCCCGGGGGCTCAGGTCAGCGTGCTCTCCATAAACCCTGTAAAATAAACCCTAAACCCTTAAACCCTAAAACCGCTAAACCCTAAACCCTAAACCCAAACCCTAAAACCCTAAAACCCTAAAGCCCTAAAGCCCGAAAGCCCTAAACCCTAAAAACCCCTAAACCCTAAACCCTAAACCCTAAACCACAAGCCGGGGCTCAGGTCAGCGTGCTCTCCACAGGTATCGCCTCCCAGGCCACTGAGGAGCAGGACGTAGAGGCAGCCTTGTCTGCTGGGGGGCATTGTCGGCTCAAGGGATCCTCTTAGGGGTTAGGGGTTTGGGGTTTAGGGTTTAGGGTTTAGGGTTTAGGGTTTAGGGTTTACAGGGCATAGGGTACTTCAGGTCAACTGGGGAGTACAGTGGTGCATCGCTTGTCTGCTTAAGGTTCCCTGTATTAGTTACTTCCACCCCTCCTTACAGTGCCCACCCTCAACCCTAAACCCTTAATCAGCATACATCTTCATGAAGAGCACCAACCCCCCCGCCACCTGCAAGCCCCAAACTCCTTCTGCGCCCTTGAAACCCTAGAGGCCCGATAAACTTACAAACCCGACGAGCCCGGTACGCCCCCATAAGCCCAACAAGATCTGTAAGCGCTATAGAAGCCCTCTAAACCTTGTACGGCCTACAAATTAAGCCCCCCTAGGCTCCAAAACCCTAAACCCTAAACCCTAAACCCTTGACCCTTAACCCTTAAACCCTAAACCCTAAACCCTAAACCCTACGAGGTCACGGCCGAGGAGCTCGCCGCAGGGGGGAAGCGGAAGTTCAAGTTTGCGCGCATGACTTTGCGCCTCGGCCCCTTTGAGGGCTCTGGACCAACATTTTAGGGTTTAGGGTTTAGGGTTTAGGGTTTAGGGTTTAGGGTTTAGAGTCTACACCACCCATGTGTTTAAGCCCGAAAGGGAGGCCCTCGGGAAATTGCCCCTTACTGGGGTTAAGAGGATTTTTTGGGGGTACATGTTTTCAGAGGGTTTGAACCAAGACCCTGAACCTTACTTGGAGGTTCATACCCCAGCTATAAATCTACTTTTACCCTACTTAGGGGACTTAGGGGGCTTATAAGTACACTTATCATTGGGGTTGTAAGTACACTGACCCTCCAAGTATACACACTACATAAACAGTATTTCTGGGCTATAGCAGGCTGTGATTGGCAAGTACTTTGGGGGTCCGGGTATGAACCGCTGAAGCTTCCCGGCTTCGGGTTTTAGGGGTTGAGGGTGGAGGGCGCGCGAATCCCACCCCTAAACTGTAGATCCTGCAAGGTCAGGGAGCACCAAGGGTCCCAGTGAGGAGGATAGGGGTATAAGGAGGGACCCGCAAAAAGGACCCTTAATCTTCTTCCGCTCTACAACCCCTGTATATATATATATACATACCTTATACCAGGCGACAGAGGGTGGACCCACCGGCTGGGGCACTGGCGGCAGACAATCAGCGCAAGCTAAAAATTTTGTTGGCCAAATCAGTCTTGAAGCACGCGGCAGAGATTCGTGAACTGCAAAGCGCGGTACTGACTACGCTTTTGATCCCGAAGGACACGGCCGTAGTGAGTGCAATGTCTACAGCAACGCAAGGTCACAACACGCAGGCAGCTGAGCTGCGCAAGGCAGGCAAACAGCGTGAGTGGGAGGCTTTGGGCGAGCCACATGTGCACGCGTGGATGGCAACGGTGATGCAGCTCATGGAGTCTCGTCACGTGAGCTCTGAGGACAAGCAAAGGCTTGAAGCCCACGTTGCTTCTGCTACCAGTGCCAAGGCGATGGAGCCTCTCGTGCTGGTTGCCAAGTGTCGCAAGTGCTTCGATCCAAAGCGCATGCGGTTGACTTTGTGCGTGCAGCACCAACTTCATGATGTACACGAGGTCGTTATCAAGGGACTGCAAGGCATGGGAGCGCAGCTCAAGCGTGGGGTAGCGCCAAGGTCTGGCAGTGAGCGGGAAATCCAAGCCATACTTGATGCTCTACTTGAGTAGGGTCATTCCCAATCTTTAATCAGTGAGCGCAGTCACAGCACTGCATTTTGACACATAGGCAGGCCCTCGTATGCGAGGCGCAGTGCTGCATCAACGCTCTGTTGGGCATTGCGTTTGGCATTTTGAGGCCGTGCTCGTGCAAGCCGCGCATGCGGTGCGAGACAGCAGCACCAGCATTACAAGTTCTACTCAGGGCAAGGACCCTCCGCTCGCCCGTGGAGCCAACACTTCAGAGAGGCGGTGAATGAATGAAAAAACCTTATAATACATAATTACTCCTTCTATACCTAAGTAGCCCCTGAATAACCCCCAAGCAGACCCTAAGGTCACTTCTTCGGGTCCCTCCTTTAGTCCCTTGAGATTAGGTCGTGGGTACCTGAGACATTATGGCATTCCTGCCGCCCGAGGCCTTGGTGGATCTGGGTTTCTTTGGAAATTTCAGGGTTCAGGGTTCAGGGTTCAGGGTTCAGGGCTTAGGGTTTAGGGTTTAGGGTTTAGGGTTTAGGGTTTAGGGGGTGATTTTAGGACCTCTTGTCATGGCAGGCGTCGAAAGGACCAGCTGCCAACGAGCAGAAAGAAAGACACCCTAAAACCTAAACCCTGAACCCTGAACCCTAAAGGCGAAACCCTAAACCCTAAACCCTAAACCCCCAACCCGAGAGCCTGAGCCCATCTTTAAGCATCCCCAGGTGCTTGAAGGCGGTTCTGGAGTATTGCCGCGAGGCCAATGGCGGCAAGGAGCCTGGGCTGTGCTTTCGGATAGTAGCCCTAAACCCTAAACCCTAAACTCCTAAACCCTAAACCCTAGAAAACTAACCCTAAACCCTGAACCCTAAACCCTAAACCCTAAACCCTAAACCCTAACCCCTAACCCCTAACCCCTAAACCCGAACCCGAAACCTAAACCACAAACGTTTTCAGTTGGGTGGAAGCACAACTCAGGACACCTGGCAGTCCGGCACCTTGGGCGAGGTGCGGAGTAGAATCGTTTCAAGTTGAGGTTTAGGGTTTAGGGTTTGGGGTTAGGGTTTAGGACTTAGGTTTAGGGTTTTGTGTTTAGGGTTTAGGGTTCAGCTGTGCTTATCTGCTGGTACGACAGGTGAGCTTTTCAATGCAATGTAGCAAACGTACCTGAAACCAAGACTATGAAAGATAAATGGAACGCACAACGCCTGTTTTTTTTACATATGAGCAACACAAATCAAACCGATACCAACAATAGGCAGTAACGAAACCAACATGCGCCTGACCCCAAATCGAAAGCACATCAGATAATTACCATGGCTGTTTAATATCGGTACGGTACGGTATTGCTTTACTGCGGTATGCTGCGGTATGTATTGCATGGTATTGCTGGCTTTCGGCACGGTCCGGTTCGGTACTGCACGGCACGGTCCGGTTCGGTACGGTAATGCGGCTCCAGCCACCTGACCTGCCTCTGGCCTCCAGCCACCCACCCTCCAGCCACCGCCCCAGCCACCAACCTCCAGCCACCAACCTCCACAGCCACCCACACCCGACCACTCCAGCCACCCACCCACCCACCTTGCAGCCTCCAGCCACCAACCCCTCCAACCACCCACCTCCCCTCCAGCCACCACCCACCTCTCCAACCACCCCCCCTCCAGCCACCAGCCTCCAGCCACCCACCCCTCCACCCCTCCAGCCACCCACCCACCAGCCTCCAGCCAACAGCCTCCAGCCACCCACCCCTCCAGCCACCCACCCCTCCAGCCACCAGCCTCCAGCCACCCGGAAACAAAGGATGAGAGAAAAACCCTAGACATGATGCCGTCTTCATGCTTCCTTTTTATCTGGCGGTTACATCACATAGAATTATAATCCATCACATGACCGCGAGAAAGATGAACTGAACCAATTCCAGTATTTTAAAGGGGCAATCTTTCACTTCGCGCATTTTGGTGGACTTATTAAAAGCAATAAATAAGATTACGAAATGAATGAAACGCAGGAACGGTTTCATTTGGATTTTTTTGGAATTTTGGAAATCTTTATAAAAGCCCCTAAGAATATTATAGTGTAGCGGTTTCTTCTCAGCCATTACATTATAATCTCGTTCAATGGGGCTTTTAGTGAAAAAAAACATCCTCATTTCGTCCTTTTAATTGGGGTTTTTGTTTCGTTCATAATTTTATTGCGGCTTTCATGCTTCACGGGGCTCATTATAAAGCCTCAAAAAATTAATCTCTTCACACCCCCAAATACTATAGTTAATGACTCTTGGAAATGGTACTAAAACTGTGGGTCACTAGCCCGTAACAAGATATTGATTGACGAGCCACAAGCCTTATTGAATCTTCCCTATAGACCCCTTTTAATTGTAGTTTACTACATAAAAGCACTATTCATGCGCAAGCTTATAATGAGTACTTTTATATAGTGCATTTAATGGGGAAAAGAGGACAGGAACTCTCTATCTACAACCTTAACTTTGAGACAGGATTTTGGAAGAGGAAATCATTTGTAACCGCTAGAAAGAACTGGGTGATGAATCCAAAACCTGGGCATCAAGACGGCATGAGTGAATAATATTAGGACGGGCGCATATATTCATTGACTTTAAAGGGCGCCCGTAATACAATATTATTATTGGGCTAATTTTGAGGGGCTTCGTGTGCGCTTTTTCCCCATTTATTAATAGTGGAAAAAGGGCCCCACTTTGCTCCCAAAATACTATTAAGGGGAGTGAATGGTTGAACGAAGAGAAAGAGCGTACTAATTTGTAATGAAATGAATGAAATGAAATGGAAGCACGAAATTAGTGTAGCGACTGAACGAAGTGTGAAGAGAACATTAAAGGGGCTATATTACAAGCGAAATAGAATGTAGCGCGTGAATTCGCCCCTTTAAGTGGACGAACGTGGTGTCGACTCTCCAGCCACCCACCCCTCCAGCCACCCACCAGCCTCCAGCCACCCACCCCTCCAGCCACCCACCCCTCCAGCCACCCACCATCCAGCCACCAGCCTCCGCCACCTTTGCAGCCACTCATCGAGGGTGGGTGGCAGGCTGGTGGCTGGAGGGTGGGTGGCTGGGTGGCTGGAGGCTGGAGGCTGGTGGCTGGAGGGTGGGTGGGTGGATGGAGGGGTGGGTGGCTGGAGGCTGGTGGCTGGAGGGTGGTGGCTGGAGGGGGTGGCTGGAGTGGAGGGGTGGGTGGCTGGAGGCTGGTGGCTGGAGGGTGGGTGGTTGGAGGGGTGGGTGGCTGGTGGCTGGAGGAGGGGTGGTGGGGAGGCTGGAGGGGTGGTGGAGGCGTGTGTCCGTGGGAGATGTCTGGGACCATGGCTGGAGGTGGTGGCTGGAGGGTGCTTGGCTGGGTGGCTGGAGGGTGGCTGGAGGTGGGTGGCTGGTGGAGGGGGCTGGCTGGAGGGGTGGGTGGCTGAGGCTGGTGAGTGGCTGGAGGGGTGGTGGCTGGAGGGGTGCTGGAGTTGGTGGAGGCTGGTGGGTGGCTGGAGGGGTCGGTGGCTGGAGGCTGGTGGCTGGAGGGTGGGTGGCTGGAGGGGTGGGTGGTTGGAGGCTTCCAGGGTGGGTGGCTGGAGGGGTGGGTGGAGGGTGGGTGGCTGGAGTGGCGGAGGGTGGGTGGCTGGAGTGGAGGGGGCTGGAGGCTGGTGGCTGGAGTGGGTGGCTGAGGCTGGTGGGTGGCGGTTGGGGGGGCTGGGTGGGTGGCTGGAGGCGGGCGTGGGTGGGTGGCTGGAGTGGCTGGGTGGCCAGAGCGGCGGAGGGTTGGTGGCTGGAGGCTGCAAGGTGGTGGAGGGTGAGGGTGGGTTGTATACTTTCCTGTACGGTTCGGTGCAGTACGGTAAGCTTCCTGCACGGTTCGGTGCGGTACGGTAAGCTTCCTGCACGGTTCGGTGCGGTACGGTAACGGTTCGGTGCGGTACGGCGGAATTGTATTGTTGAAACGCCCATGATTACTCGCAAGAATTACAGCAGAACGTGGACCCAACACGCCTCAGGATCCATGTGCTTTAAGGCTGCACTGTTTCATGTTTCTGTCTGTACGTGTAACATGCCTAACTGTTTTTTTGTTCATGCATATCTTTCTGTGTCTTTTGTACAAAGTTTCATGATGGTTGAGGTTATACCTTTGTGCCGTTTGCTTGCCGGACCCCTAGTAGTTCCTGCCATTGCTTGCTTGTGGTCGTTCCGTTTTGTTGTTGGCCCTTTTCTTACATTCTCCGGATCCGGTGTTAAGTGCCGCCATCCTATGCCCTATGCTCCGACTATGTTCTTCAATTTCCCATCATTGTTCCCGGTGTTCCATGCTTCTTCAATATCCAGGCCCAAAGCAAGGCTCTTTGAGGCAACGACAGAGACATCAAGAATGCCTGTGGTCAGTTCTCTAAATTTTGGTCCCTTTTTGGGTCTTGTAAAGGTTTTTGGGTACCCTAAATATGAGGGGGCGCCTTAGAATAAGTACCCCTTACATGGACCATCTTTCAGTTCTCTAAAGTATGGTTCCTTTTCGGCTTCCCAAAATAAGAGGGCCCCCCCAAAGGGACCATCTTGTAAAGAAGTGACCATGTGATGTTGCAGGTGACGTGGGAAGAGGCGTGCCAGCACCTCGGCTCAGACCACCTCAGTGCTGAGGTGTTTAGGGTTTAGGGTTTAGGGTTTAGGGCTTAGGGTTCAGCCTCGGGAACTAGGTGTAGTCGCGCAGCCTAAAGTGTCCGATCTTGTACCACGATCATGATACGACGTAAGACGCACCAAAAGCATGTAGAGCGGCCATGAGCCCTTTTCAGGTGTTCATTCACCGAGGACCGCAAGTCGGCCCTTTTGTCCCTTCTTGTGGGGGCTTAGGCCTAGGCTCCCTCACAAGGCCCCTCTTAAAAAACAAAAAAAAATACCCTTGCGATTCCTAGGTTACTCATAGGTCACCCTAAACCCTAAACCCTAAACCATTTTCAATCCTGGGTTACGTAGGTACTTCCCAAGGTGGTGACGACTTGCCCCCTATATGTGTGTAGTTAAGCAGGGGGGGTTCATTATGGGCAAAACCCGACCCTGGAGCTACAACCCCAAAGCATTGGGTACTTGAGGGGGTTTAGGGTTTAGGGTTAGCCCTAAACCCCAAACCATGGGCCCTCAACCCCAAGCCCGAAACCAAAATCCCTAAGGCCCACACCACCCTTGACCTGCAGGATCCCAAGCCCGATGCAACCGAGGCTTCGCGAAAATGAGAGGCCCCTAATATAGACCCCTAACTAGTAGGATCCCCGTATAGTTTGGACCCCTAAACCCTAAACCCTAAACCCTAAACCCCACTGAGGCACGCGTTTGCCCATAGCAACTTTGTGGACGTCATCTTCGACCCCGATGGCTTTACCAAGGAGACCCCGATGCTCAAGGTGCGTTTGCCCGTGTATCTGAAGGGCGACACGAGCCTCATCTGCCATTGAGGGTTGAGGGTTTAGGGTTTAGGGTTTAGGGCCCCAAGCTTTCTGAAGCTGTTGGTGCTTGCAGGGTTTACAGTCCACTGTTTTAAGGTGGTGGGTCAAAACACCGGTACGGCTATGGACCCAAGACAGCCCAAACACAAGAGTGCTGAGAGCCTTCGGGGGTTTTGGTCATGTAAACCCTCAAATTATCAATATTGCTGGCCTCCGATAAGCTAGGTCTGGGGGTGGGGGCCTTCAGGGTCCCTAGTAAGCCCAATTAATTCAACAAAAGGTGCCATTTGTTGTTCCTTAGCTCTACCGGGTCAACCTGCTACTAAAGAACTGGCTTCCTTTCCGTGCATTCATCCCCTGGTTCTTCGTAGGGAATGAGGGAAGTATTAGGGCCCTATTCTGTACCCGTTAAGGGATTACATAGGGTACCTCACTCCCAAAGTTTCCCCACTAAGAGCCAGTTCAAGGAACTCCTGCATCAGCACCTTCACCGTGGTACCCACAGGGAAGAAGAAGGTGGTGGACTACAGCAAGGCTGCCGAGAAGAAGGGCGCGGGCAAGAAGAAGAGCCCCAGATGACGACCCAACTCCTGAAGGTGTTCACCTCTCTGGTTTGCTGGGTTGGGCTTGTGGGTTTTATAGGGTTTAGGGTTTAGGTTTTAGGGTTTAGGGTTTAGGGTTTAGGGTTTAGAGTTCACCCTAGACCCCAAACCCCAAACCCTTTAAGGACCTGCACATTTCTGTGCACGTTTTAGGCACCGGATTTCTGGCGTTGCCCGAAGTCAGGTCCTCGCTGTTAATGCACAGGGGCGCCTCGGTGCGAAGCACTGTGAGGATGCCTGTACTTTGCCCTACTTGGGGCTACCTGGGTGCATGTGCATAGAATACAATATAGTATTGTGTATTATTTTATCGGTTGCATATGTCGTACATATTATCTAATATTATATATATATATAAAAACAAATCCTTATACATCATATATATATATATTTTTATATACTGTCGAGAGATTTGCTATAGATATTCATAGGGACGCTTTGGGCTTATGTAGCTCTTGGCAGAGCAAGGGTTTCACGTTTGGGTGCCAAGTGGCCCTCTGAGGCGGCCGGTCTGCGAGGTCACAAGTGTCCCCAATTGCGTGATGCCAAAAGCCCGTGAGCCCTTGCACTGTAGGGTTTAGGGTTTAGGGTTTAGGGTTTAGGGTTTAGGGTTTAGGGTTTAGGGTTGGGAGAGGGCCCCTTAGATCATGGAATCTCTTGTGCTGATATAGCAATCGCCTATGTCTGGGTGGTTTAAGCAGCAACATGTCGTTTAGGCTTCAGTGCTTGAAGGGAAGGACCCTAACACAACCCTAAAGCCTAACTCCCTAAACTCTAAAGCCTAAACCCTAAGCCCTAGCCCCCTAAGCCCTCAACTTCTCAAGGCTTCAAGCCCTAAACCCCTGAGCCCCCGAAGCCCTGAACGCCTAAAGCCCTGACACCTAGCCCCCTAAGCCCTGAAAGCCCCCTGAGCCCTAAGCCCTAAACCCCTAAAGCCGCAAACCCTATAGCCCCCGGAAGCCCGAAACCCTAAACCCTAAACCCTGTGTGTTGGGCTCCAGCTACGCCCGGAAAGCCCAAGCGGCCCTACCGCGGCCCGCGGGGGCCCCCGGGGCTCCCGGGGATGGCCAATGACAGGCGCGGAGATTCGGGCGCCGTAGGGCGTTCTAAGGTCGTGCTGCAAAGGGTTTAGGGTTTAGGGTTTAGGGTTTAGGGTTTAGGGTTTAGGGTTTAGGGTTTAGGGTTTAGGGTTTAGGGTTTAGGGTTTAGGGTTTAGTGCGTATTTAGGGTTTAGGGCTTCAATTCGGGTAGTTCTCTACCTTAGGGTCCCTTCGGGGGGGGGGGGGTTTGGGGTTGATTTTGGTTGTGGGGGAGTAGGTGGTCTTGGCAGGCTTGGGGTTTGGGGTTTTAGGCGTACCCTAAACCTCCAAGTACACAAACAATACCTACATTGGGGTCTAAAGTCTGTAAATCGTACCTACTTTGGGCTGTTCGGAGCCTTAGGGGAAGGCTTCACCTCAAGAATCATGCGGAGTGATGGCCAAAAGAACCTGAAGCTCTGGCTTCACAGGGTGCAGGGCCCTAAACCCTAAACCCTAAACCCTAAACCCACTTGCTGGTTCATGGGTACTTGTGAGTACGGATCTTAAGTATTGTTGGACCCTCTTCTGTGTGTTCGCCCCCCCCCCCACCCCGGAACAGTCGAAGCTGGTATTCGCCCTGTTTACACGGTCCACAGGTTTTACAGGAAGGAGTCTAAACAGTCTATACGGGACAGTGACGATTTTAAAGGCGCGCCGCGCGGAATTTGCTTACGACACCGACGGTTGGGGTCTGCACCTGAACCCCTAAACCCTGAACCCTAAACCCTGAACCCTAAACTCTAAACCCAAACAGTCACGGTGTCCTGAATATCCCAGCCAATTTGACTTATATTCAGGGGAGCCCCCACCAAACAGGGTCCAACATTTGGGCAAGTTCTGGGTTCCTGGGGTTCTAGGGTTCCTGGGGTTCTGGGGTTCTAGGCTTCTGGGGTTCTAGGGTTCTAGGGTTCTATACGGCTTAGTTCAGAGTTCAGGGGACATGCGGTAAGACCTGACTCCACATGCCAAACGCCGCTTGTGCGCAGGGGTGGTGCGCTGGTCACCTTGGCCCTCCTCTCAGCTTGTCCACTCAAAGCCCTAGAAGCCACAAACCCTAAACCCTAAACCCTTAACTCTAAACCCTAAACCCTAAACCCAAAGCCCAAGCCCTAAACCCTAAATCGCTTTGAGGTTTCGGATTTTTGTGTTGAGGGCGTGAGGGGAGGGGATGCGCTAACAAGCCGTTAAAGAATCCCAGAAAGCCCTCAACCTCCTTGCATCCGAAAACAATCACTTCCAAACTATTATTACGTATACCCTGAACCCCAGAACCTGACCTTCCGAAAACCCTAAACGCCCTAAACCCTCAACCCTGAACCCTAAATCCCGCCCCCCCCCCCCTCCCTCCCCAAGAAAAGTAAAATACATAAATAATATATATGTATATATATATATATGTATATATTCAAAAAGATATTCAAAATAAACAACAAATAAATCAAGTTAATAAATTGAAATCACAAAAAAGAAAGTCCAATCCCCAGGCATCCGAAAACAACCAGTTCCAAACCCAAAGCTTCGAGCTGCCCGGCGGCGAAGAGCGCGCGGGGCCCTGGAGGGGGGACGTTTAGGGATTTCGGGCGTTTAGGGTTTAGGGTTGAGGGTTTAGGGGGTTTAGGGGGTTTAGAGCCTTTAGGGTTTATCAGCTTTTGCCTAGGGTTTTTTGAGGCTTTTGGTCTGAGTTTAGGGTTTAGGGTGTGGCCAGCAGTGCCCTGATTCCCTTCTTCGGGGGGGGGGGGGGGTTGGTTCCCTTCTAAACCCTTTTAAGGCAAAGGGCACCGTTTTTACCCTAAACCCTAAAAACCCTAACCTATAGAACAGCCAGAGATCTGGAGAGCTGACCGCCTTTCTGGACAGGTCGCATTCGATTGGGCCGCGCGAAGGAGAATGACTTGCAGATTGATCAGAAGGCAGGTCAGCCTACACTAGGAGGGTTTAGGGTTTAGGGTTTAGGGTTTTAGGGTTTAGGGTTTAGGGTTTAGGGTGGCCCCATGTACTACATTATAGGAGGTGCTGTAAGGTATATCGAGACTCGTTTGCTTATGGTAAACAGCATGGTTGTCCCTAAGGGTCCATGTACCTCATGATTACCCTAAGGGTCCATGCACCACATGATTTTTTACTTGGGCCCAACTAGGATGCCCAGTAGTACCCTTGTTCCCTTTTTGGGGGTTTAGGTTCCCTTATAAACCCCTTTAAGCAAAAAAGGGCACCCTTTTTAAGCCTAGGTTACTGGGCAGCCTAGCCAAAAGTCCCCATATGGGAGGTACTTTAAGGCCCAAGTATTCCGTGTTTAGGTACATGGGACCCTTATAAGGAATGCAAAGGCGATTTTGGGTTTAGGGCTTCACGGAGTCGCGGTAGGAGCAGCTTAAACCCCTGATAAGACGTCATTCCTTGAGCGACACCCTAAAACACCTTTTTGGGATACTAGAATTCCCCCTATAGAACTGAAAGTGTACACTTGTTGGGGGGGGGGGGGGGGGGGCTTGTGAAATCAGCAACTAAGTCCCTCACCTCCTCCTAAACTATGTCATAGTGGGGCAATATTTTGCAGTCTTAAGGGTACTTCAACTCAACAAGGAATAGAAAGTTGCAATTTCAATACTATCCCAACAATGAACTAGTAAACCACCCTCCTAAAGACTGCCTTTAACAAGCAATACCTCCGAAAGATACGGGATCACACATCGTAGTATCCTGCTATATACACACTTAATACATAGCGCCATTCTCTCTCAACTTGTAGACTACTATAACTGCTACCCCTAAACCCTAAACCCTAAACCCCTAAACCCCTAAACCCCTAAACCCCTAAACCCCTAAACCCTTAAACCCCTAAACCCGAAACCCCTAAACCCCTAAACCCTAAACCTAAACCCTAAACCCTATAGCAGCGATGTCCCTACAACCTCGAGGGGCAGATGGGCATTCGTCGACCCATTGAGCGCTTAGAACTCGTCCGACATCCTCAACTCCCCAAGGGTTTAGGGTTTAGGGTTTGGGGTTTGGGGTTTGGGGTGTAGGGTTTTAGGGACGACACCTCAAACACGAATCAAGACCCCCCCCAACCAAAAGCCTCAGCTTGAAGCTTGCAAATCCTAATCCCTCGAACCCCTAAACCCTTCGACCCTGAAAATCCTAAGCTCCTCAACCCTAAGCACTGGACCTTAAAAGACTCTAAGTTCCTCTACATACCCCAAGCTGAAGTTACCTCGAAGCTGCTCCCATGAAACGTTTGATTTCTTTTCAACTTCGCCTAAACCTTCAACCCTAGCCCTTAGAGCCCGAAACCCTAAGCTAAATCCCTAAACGCCAACTCTTAGAGCCCGAAACCTTAATCCTTGGGACACCCCCCCCCCCCCCCCCCCCCAACCCGAAACCCGAAACCCCAAACCCTAAACCCTAAACCCTAAACCCTAAACCCTAAACCCCAAACCCCCCAAAGAAAGCCCAAGAGGGCACCTCCTGGTTCCACTGTGAGCTGCGGCTCCTGGAGCCCGAGAAGCGGGGTAGCGGCTGGGGGGACCCAGAGACGAACGCCGAGGGTTTAGGGTTTAGGGTTTAGGGTTTAGGGTTTAGGTGTAGGGTTTAGGTGTAGGGTTTGGGGTTCGGGGTTTAGGGTTTGGGGTTTGGGTTTAGGGTTTGGGGTTTAGGGTTTAGGGTTTAGGGTTTAGGGTTTGGGGTTTGGGGTTTGGGGGTTAGGGCTTGGGGTTTAGGGTTTGGGGGTTGGGGTTTGGGGTGTGGGTTTTGGGGGTTTTGGGGTTTCGGGTTGTTAGGATTTAGGGTTTTGGGGGTCGGTGTTTAGGGGTTTAGGGTAAGGGTTTGGGGTTTGGGGTTTTTGGTCTTGGGTTTAGCATTTGGGTTTAGGGGTTAGGGTTTGGGGGTTTTGGGA